GGCACAGTGTGTGATACAGTAGTGGATTGAAAACTGCGTCGGAGCTGCTGTGTCAATTGTCCCATCACTAGTTTTGTTCACACAGCATGGCTTCACCGAAAATGCAGTTGCGAGTCCTGAAAATTTACTGGTTTGAGTTCGGTTATAGAATGTGGTTGTCACTCCTGTGCACGCCCATATATAAAAATAATATATATTTTTTTTAGCCCATGGAAGCATGTGCTTAGTGGTGTAGTGACTTAAATATCTTAATGGTAAATATCTTACATACAATATTTTAAATATGACCAACATTGATGTAACTACCGATTATCATTCTCGATGTAGTAATGATGACTGTCTGTCCTTATCTGTTTCAGATTCAGGTCTGTCTCCAGCTGCTGTAGCAGGAATATGTGTTGGTGTTGTTCTGTTGTTCGTGGCTGCAGCTGCTGGTGGTGTGATTTACTATCGCAAGCGTCCTCAAGCAGGAGAAAATAGTGAGTATTACATACAGATGATTTAACAAGATGGAAAAAGTGTGAAAGGAATCTTTAAAAGCTGTCAAAGTAAGTATTTTTCTACTCATAAATCAAAGTAATGTGTGTTTAATTGAATTTTGTTATTGTTCAAACAGACACCACAGCACAATCCAGTGATCAGGTGAGATACCATGCACACTGAGGAAGAGAAAATGTCGGTGCATCAAGAAAACAAAATAATCCTCATTTACCCTCTGTGAATCAGTGTTTTATTACAGTCAGGTCATTTAAAAGACTCATCTCCTAATCTGTTTTACCCTATGTTGATGGACAATGCTAATGAGACGTCCCCTGATGGGAATGAGACTGAGGCTGCCGATGAGACATCACTGTAACATCACTGGTACCAGTCAATTTTCAGCTCAAACAGCACAGCAGAACTGACTGAAATTTATATATACATACAGCAATAATTGAGGAAACATGTAAACCAGCAAAAGAACAATGGTCTCTTGAGATTTTTTGGTATATGGGGGGATTAAGCTGCTGAACTGACCCAGAACAATGGGCATTTATTTCTGTTTCCTATCATTAAAGGGGTCTTGTGATGCGATTAAAATT